AATGAGTGCATCAGGGTCTTACGTTCAGATCTTGCAGCGGTTTTGGTAGCTGCGCTACCGATTTTCTTTTTCTTTTCGAGGTTTTCGGACACTGGTGTCGACAAACCTTTATATACCTTTATTATTGTATACACATCATATATAAGTGTGTCCATGAAGGACGCAAACAACCAAATCATTTACTCTGTGTTATTACTTAGCTTTTGAACTAATAGCTTTAATATTTGAAACTCAACACTTTCGACAATTGTGTAGATTCATAGATACATACCTGACAAAGGCTTCAAAAGGTATTTGTTGACACGTAAAATGACAAGAGCGTCACAAGGTTATGTTTTTGACAACCGGAAACCAGTGAAACGGGACGGGAACACCCCTAAACTTTTTACCGCATAATAAATCCGCAATTAGATATTTAAATTAAATAAAAACTATGCATTTTTCCAAAGATAAATACCTGTAGATTTTATTCAGTAAAGGATTTGTCAACACCACCGACAATAAAGCAGATACGACAGATACAATGTAGGTACCAATTGTTGCAATAAGGAAAACACATCAATTTGGTCTTGGCTGCTTCTCCCTTTTTTTATAAGAATTGAAGCAACTTGAGTTCGTTTTCTTGCATAGAGTACCTGTCATACTATATATTTTTCAATGTTCATTATTAAGTCTTATAATAGCCCTTTTTATCACATAATGTACGGTGTTATTCAGTGAATATACCTATGTCATATTTTTTGGGCTAATTAACCCATGTAATATAACCTATCAGCCCTGTGATTAGTTGTAAGTTTCAATTGTGACGTCACGCCTAGGACAAGTACATGACGTCACAGACTTACGCACTGGAGTCAAAATGGCGGATTTTTACATTTCAAAATTTCATGAAAATTGTCGTTTTACACGAATAAATGTCACAAATCTTGATTATGTGGTAAAAAGGATCTTACACTCATTTTAATTTCATATGAAATTTATGAAACTCGTCACGAATTTTCTTTCATTTTAGCTCGCCAGAGGCTCGCTAAATTGAAATAATCTTAGAATCGTTTCATGAATCTTAAATGAAATGGAAACTCATGTAAGATCCTATATATAGTTTCTGGATGCCAATGGTTAGGTGTGGGTTTAGAAAGTTAACTGTCCCGAGTTCGACCCTAGCAGACTTTATTTTTCATTTTCCCCTTACTTCTTTCAAACTTTTAAATTCTTAAGAACTTTTATTCTGTAAATGCACCAAAACATGTGATGTTTACACGCTACTTCTATTAAAAAGGACTTTAACAATCAGAAACGAATATTACACAATTCCGTCTTTGCGTATTGCAGAGGTATCTTCTCTTGGGAGCAGGGATTGATTGTTACGTCACTTGTTTGTGAGAGTAACGTCATCAATATTTGAGA